ATCTCGAGACCTTTTACTTTTTTTCAAAGCAGTAATAAAATATTTTTTTTATTAAATACTTTTTGAGTTTTAAGTCTGGGAAAGTATATATGATCATACAATATATGATCATGTATTTGAAATGTGTTAAAGAAGCTTTAGTTAAAAAAACGTTAACAAAATGTCTTACATTCTAAGAAAACATAATATACTCATTAAATAAAAAATATTTAATAGGACATTATTAGGATAAATATACTGATGAAGAGAAAAACATCTTTATCAGAAATTATTACTATTAATTCAATAATGTGAGGGAATTAATTATATATTACAATATTAACTATCTTATATTACAGCATTTTTATTAGCTGATAAAGGATATGATGTATGGCTTGGAAATGTCAGAGGAAGTTCTTATTGCAGATCACATGTAAAATTATCTCCACGAAATAAAGAGTTTTGGCAATTTAGGTAAAATTATTTTATAAGTATACACTTATTGTTATAAGAAATTTTTATTAATTTCGACTTCTCGTTATTTTAATTGTTTTTAATACGGTATTCATAGTCCGTTTTTATTTTAAATTCATCTTAAATATAATATCTTAAGATGTTAATACAGTCTTCGGATTGACTTACGACATCTTAAGATTGACACAAGACAGTCTTAAATGTAAGAATCGACTATGAATACCGACTTGTTTTGCATGAAGTTGGTACTGAGTCTTTTCTTACACGGCTCATGAAAAATTTACAAATAATGCTTATTAATAAGATACAATAACTTGTAAAATGTGTTTATAAAGTTTTATTAAGAAATAAGAATGATAAATACGTATATGAAGTAATAGATATAATAATTATAACAATCTTCCTACATATATTACAAGTGTTATAATACGAGGTATATACATATTTTATGTAATGTGTTTAATTTATTTGTGTATAAATTGTATTTAATTTATTTCACTGAACCCGATCTGCGCATTTTGTATGCTTTGGGCATAAATTCCGCTAAAAATGCCGTATATCAAATATACAGGGATATAAGAGAATAAATTAAACAAAGAATACAAAAGCAAAGCACTTGTACTTTGTTATACAACATGCTTTACTATTCTTCTACGATTATGTATCATATTATGACCACTCTTTTATGACCGCGCTTTACAGATTATCTTGTGCAGATTATAATTTATGATGACACTACCTATTACAGTGACAAATCAGTTTAATTCACAATAATTTCATTAATATTAATAGTAAAAAAGCTGAAACATAACACTAAACATAAAGGCATGTAATAGTAGTTGCATATATAGCCGGAGTTATCCTTTGCTTGGCTTCTTCTGCGATTTCTAGTTAAAATCGATTTTTTCTTAATAAAAAAATATATAAATTTGGAATACTATGCGTAGGTGAATTGTACGTGCGTGCGTGCGTTCGGTTCGATAATTTTATTTTAAAAAATTGATCATAATTGAGTTAAAAAATTTATAACAAATATTTGATAATTTTGCAACATAACAAAAATAATAGAAGAGAAAATACAATTTATTTTTATTGTCTAGCTATCACGAGGTAGGAATAATAGACCTACCGGCTATGATCGATTATGTACTTGATTATACAAAACAAAAAAATCTGCATTTTGTCGGTATTTCGATGGGAACTACTGTATTATTCACTTTATTGTCTATAAAACCCGAATACAATGCAAAAATAAAATTGGCAGTCTGCCTTGCTCCGATCGCCTTTTGGACTGAAGTATCTCCTATGATGCAGTCTGGTATTAATATGGTACGCAGTATTACAAATTTGCAGGTAAGATAATAAAATATTTTAACAAAAATAAAGATTTATTTTATATATATATATATAAGTTTTGCATTAACAATGTATTATCTTAATAAGAAAATAATTTTTATTAGCAACATTATTTTATTATTATATTTATTATTAATGTAACTAATAAATTTTTACATAAACTGTAATAAACAATAACAAGTAAATTGATTAAGAGTAAAATATTTTTTATAAATAAAAGCAATAATAAAAGTTAATAAATTAATAATAAGAAGTTAAATTAATAAATTAGCAATAAATTAATACTTAAAAACGGTATACCAGCCTATTAAATATTGTACAATATTAGAAATAAAATTAACATTGAAATCTATTGTGTACATATATTTATATAATATATTTTACCTAAAATTTTTTTATATGATATTTTTTATTTTTGTTGTGATTATTACAAACTATTATTTAGTATAATATTTAAAGAAGTTTTAATTTAAACTAAAATGTACAATGAGATGAGATTACATTGACCGTACAAATTAATTATTTTTTGTGTAGCTGTATTATATATTTGTGCATTTTAATAATTATATTGCCTCTCATTATGTTATGATTTTATCATTAATTGTACATGTTAGTAGTTAACGTACATAGGTCAATAAAAAACCGGACTAAATATACAAAAATTTGAATATTTATCTCATTTAAATTTATTTTCTTTCAAATAATTTCCTTCTACATTTACAGCGATCATGCTGCTTTCGCGTGAAATGAACTTTTGAAATCTTTCTTTTAAATCTTGTTACGCACCTTTTGCGATTCAATTTCAATGTTTTTAACAATATCAAAACATTGCCTTTTGAGAATTTTTGCGGAGACGGTGAAATTACTGTATGAATGTAGAAGGAAACCACTTTGTAAAAAATAATGATTATATATGTATTTAAATTAAGTAAATATTCAAATTTTTATAGGTTTAATACGGTTTTTTTATACATAATTATTTTAATTTTTTTTTCTTTGTATTATACATCTAATATCTGGTATAATCTTTATTACACTTCTATTGTAATAAAGATTATTTTTCATTACATTCTTTATATTTACGTTTATATTTGTTTATTAGGAAATTTTAGATTTCACTGAAATATTTGAAGTACTCCCCTTAACATCAACAAACATTATGTTGGGAAGAACACTGTGTGCAGACAACACAATTACTCAGGTTATTTGTGTTGCATCAGTGTTTCTGGCGTCTGGAGCTAATCCATCGCAATTAAATACTGTACATTATACATGTATAATTTAGCACAATTTTACTAGTTATAACACTGTTTTTTTTTAAAGACCAAAATTAGAAAATTATTAAAATTTATAAAGTTTCACACAATAAAGTTTCTTAATTTTAATATACATATATTTTATATATACAATAAATCAAAATCGTTTCTAATAAAGTCATTCATTGCAGACACTATTTCCGGAAATATTATCGAATTATCCGGCTGGCAGTTCCGTGCAAACATTATTTCATTATAACCAAAATATTATTACAAGTGAGTATTCCTTTTCCTTTAAAACATATCACAATATAAACTATGATAATTATAACAAAAAAATGTGCATTGTAATGTATATCTGAAATGTTTTTTAATATTATCAGTTATATTTTTACTTTTTTGTCTTTATTAAATATATACTGAAAAAAAATTTTATATTTTCAAGGAAATATTATTTAACTCAAGTAAATGTTGTTTTGTATATTTCCGAGAAAATTTTTTCTTATTATAAAATGTTGCTGTATCTCTTTACGACAAGAAAATATTGGCTCATATAATATTTAAAAAATATTTCTTTTTAATGAAGTCATTATTATTTTTAAATCAGAAATATTTATTTCCGTTGAAACAATATGTTTTTATAGCAAACAACTTTATATCAAACATAAACATATATTTTTACAACAAATGTGTATTTATATTCCATATAAGTAAATATTTTCTTATACTTTAATATAATATATTTAAAGACATTGTGGTACAATTGTTGTTACAAGTAAATGCATTCTTACAGAGAAAAACTTTTTTAATATAAATCAAATATTTCTTTTGGTTTTATAAACAGTGTTTAGCTTGGAGTAAAGTTTTATTAAAATGGACAAAAAGAATTATTTTATTTGCTGATAGTGAGGAAATATTATTTTAAAAATATAAAACTTTATGTCAGAACATGGAAGTATATTTTTTTATAATAATTACATAAATATTCCTTATAAGTAAATATTTCCTTGAATATCTTTCTCAATATTGCGTAAGTTTCCTTGAATATCTTTCTTAATGTTGTTGTAAGTAAATATATTCTTATGAAAAGGAACTGATTTTTAATATAAAGAAAATATTTGTTTTAATTTCATAAACAATGTATACCGTCTGGAGTACAGTTTTATTAAAAAGGAATATTTTATTTGCTAATAGTAAGGAAATATTATTTCAAATTTAATGAACAGTTCTGTAAATCAAGGGGATATTTATCGAACTTAGAAAAATAATTTATTGAAATTTAATAAAAAATTTAAAGTTTTGTTTTAATGAAATATTTTTTTACACTCATGCTCAATTTTTATAAATTGATAAAATAAAACAGTAAATTTGGAAATATATATATATTTAAATTAATACGTTTTATTAATATATATACATTTTATTAATATATTTTTAAATTAAAACTTGTATACTTAAAAATGAAAAAAAGAAAATTTCAAGAAAATATTTCTCATACTTCAATAAATATTATTTACAATAAGCAATTTATTAGGAATATTATTAAATATTTACTTGAATAGAATAAAAACAATTTTTGAAAATCACATTTATTTGATTTGAGTATATTTTTCTCTTAGAGAGTTTATATATTAGTATTCTAATATAGTAAATTTTTTTAAGCACGTTGCTCACTATTACGTAATATATTATAAGTAAAAATAGATAAAATATCAATTCAAGATTTGTTAACATTTTTTAATTTTAATTCTATATTTATGTAGATAATTAATACTTATTGTTGCAGAGAAATTTCAAGCTTATGACTATGGATACATCGGCAATTACAAGCATTATAAACAGGCCACACCCATAACGTATGATGTTGAAAAAATTACTGCACCTGTAGCTATATTTTACGGCGGTAACGATTTGCTTGCCTTAAAATCGGTAAGATCACTTTGTCTGTTATAACGATATCTCTTGATTAAAAAATATAAATTAAAAAAAGAAACAAAATTTTATAATACAATAAAGAAAGCCAAGATCGGTCAAAATTGCATGTTTCAAATAATACATTATATATTCTTTTATTAAATTAATTTATTCCAGGTATGACTGAAAACTTTATAAATTACGCATACTATATATGCACATTGTATTTATGGTAAAAATTTTGTTTCTTCTCAACTTATAGTATTTACATATATGAAAATAACCTCTAAGAACAAATTATTTTCTCAAATTATTATTACTAATTGTATCGTCTTTCATATTTTTGATTCTAGACTGTCTTCGAATTGTATAAGCGTCTGCCGAATGTTGTCCTACTGGAGGAACAAAAATCATTTACACATTTGGATTTTATAATAGCCATAAATGTTAATACTTTAGTATACAGTCGTGTAATAGAACTATTTCAGGAGTTTGATAATAAGGCATAGAATCGGTAATGAATCAATCTGTCTAATATTTCTTCGTTAAAAGATTATTTAAAAAACGTATTATATAAAAAAAAACATCCACTCTTTATTAGAAACATTTATATTACTACAAAAAAAGCTGCAAATTTTTTTTTAAACAAATATAACAAAAAAGTATTGCTGCTTATCATGGAAACGCTGATACTAAAAGTTTTCTTTGTCTGGAAATATTAATTAAGAAATGTACAAATTTTTTATTAAGATAAAATATAGAGATTTTAATGCACAGGGGAATTATAAGTGGTTGGAATAGATATTTAATAAATGTAAGTTTTTGCTTAAAATTATTAGACAGCAAAAATTTTTTTTTATTTACAAAAAGGTGTATTATAATGACTTAAAATGGCAACCAAAAGAAAATCAAAGACCATCTAAAAAGCACGCCTTCATTATGGAATTCAGCCTCTATAAATTATCTGAAATCAAAATTTTTGATTTTTATTAATTATATGAATGTTGTTATGGCAGAAACTAGAACGAAGTCAATTGTATAAAATTTATGAAAATGACGATATGTAAAAGAAAGAGTTTGATTTTGGTCAAAAAATTTATTATTCTTTTATAAAAAATCGAATTTTTATTGTAAAAACTAACTGTATAGTTTTTGCATAAAAGTGTTAGAAACAACAAAAAACCAAAAGATATCTTTAATATTAATAACGCTATTCCTGTATATTTAGTATAATATTGTATATATTGTTATTCTTATAAAAAATAAGTATCTATTAATTATGAATAATAAGTTAATACAACAAGCTTATATCTATAGCTTATATCTGTTTTATTATTCTTGCAAATATTGTTTTTAACAAAATATCTTATCTATTATTTCCCATGCCACTATTTTCCTATTTAGAAGTTACATTTACTATATAAAAATATTTTTGAGAAAGTCACGTTAATAAATAATCTGAAAATAATAATTTATTTTTATAAATATTATTTTTATAAATTTGTTAATGAATGTTTGTATTATTTATAGCTACGCAAAAACAGTAATTTTTATGGAAAAATATAACTATTAAATAGATTCAGGGGATAAAATGCTTAATTTTATCCCGATTGCGGATGAATACCCTGCATATCGTTTATATAAAAAGTTTGATATCAAAAACTAGTGCCAAGTTATAATTTCATAAAAATAACATTTTCCGTGCGATATGTATATAATTTATTATCAATAACTGACGCCAAGTTTAAGTTCAAGAAGTATGTATTTCCAAAAATGATATGAAGCATTTAAAATTACACAATTGTAAAAAAAATTAATTCTAAAAAATAAATCTTAAAAGATTTGATAATATTTTTAATATAATTTTTTAAGAATAGAACTCAGATGTGTATCTATTCAAAACTCTTCCTATTCTAGACCAAGTGTGATAGTAATTATTTAATCCTCCTTTAAAATATTATATCACAAAATTGCATTACTTTACTTAATTCAAAGGTTATCACAAAGAATTAAGGGTGTAATAGTAAAACAAATTTCATGAAATAAAAAATATTTTATGCAAAAAAACTTGGTGCGTCTCGATTAAATTATTAAAAGAACTAAAGGCAAAAACTAATCATACTAAAGAATCATTGATCGTTCGTCCTTGTCTAATCACATGTAAATAGCATGGAGAGGAACCACAAAAACATGGATATTACTCTACGAGCTAGGTTTGCTACACAAAAAAGGGAAAGATGCCTACTCAGGTATCTCTCAGGTATCTCTCAGGGGATCGATTGTCATTTTCGAAATGAAGTGAAAATTACAAAAAGTGAATAAATTCACTAGAATATTCATTATTTAATTGGTCAATATCTAGTGAATTTGCTCACTTTTATAATTTTCACCTCATTTCAAAATATACCATAATCGACTTCCTAATTTTATAATGCAATTGCAGATTAAAATAGAAATTTTTGAGAAAATTATATTATTAGAAACATTATAAAAAATAATAAATAATAATTTATTATGAGTTTGTTATACAGACTTCTTAAATTGTGAGATATTATGAGAATTTTTTTCACCAGTCATATAAAAATTAAACTGTATATAGGATATTTCTAAAATAACGCTCAGTAATCATTTATACTGCTATTCTTAATAAAAAATTGAATCGAAAAGTCATTTTGCAATTTTCGCAATATTTTTTTTAGTTATCCACTGAGCAAAATATCTAAAATCGACATATAAAACAATTTTTAAGATATCTTTAAGAATTCTTTAAAAAACATTTTTAAAATTGACTTATACATCCATTTTATCCGTTTATTCGGCAATCTTTAGAAATTAATATCTTGTTAACTATTGCGAAAATTGCAAAATGGTAGAGGACTTTTTGATTTAGTTGTTTATTAGGAATAACACTCTATGATTAGTGGGCATTATTTCAGAAACACCCTGTATACATATCTGTTATATAAAAATACGCATGCGTACAAAAATGATGGGGGGGACATACGTTCCCCTTCTATGGTAGTAATGCATGCGTGAAAAGGTTCCCATCTGGGTTCACCGATACCGACGGCGCCATTTGTTTGGACGCGCTCCAGAACCGTTTCGCGTCGGAGCAGCTCTTCGCTTCGGAATACAAGGGTCCAGGGCTATGCTTGGAGGATAGCGCAACAATGAGCTGATTCCTACGATCGGAATTCTCGAGTATCATGCTACGAGGGGCAATTAAAATTATTTTGCGAACCGATAGCAACGTACAACCGTCTTGTTTTAACGGCGTTTGAACGAGTCGGATCTCATTCTGTTGAAGAAAAGGTGTTACGAATAGGCTAGAATGTCTCTAAGCGCCAGCGCGGAGAATCTGTCGTCCGAGGGACAAGTGAGTGAATCAACGCCCAATTAATGACGCTGAGCTTCCCACGCGTGACTCACGCTGCCACACCTGTTTCTTTATGCACAATTTTGTTTCGTCGATCAGTTATTTATTCTGTTTTACTATGGTATAAATTATATTTCGGAATGGACTCACAAGGAAATTTACTTCATCTCAGTTTTTATGTTCCGGAGCTTTGTTATATCTTTATTAAGAATAATCTAATTCACACACACATTCAAGTGAAATAAATATGCTTTCGAATTAATTTTTTCTGAAATCTTCACATTTTCATAATAAAACGCATATTGAGTCTCTCTATATACAATAATTAATCCATATCAAGCTTAACATTTTTCCACCTTTAACTTTTTGCTATCAAGCTTTGCTTTAGCTTCTATTTTTTTATCTACTTTGTAGAATTAAAGAATAATTTTGTTTTGTGTGTAATATGTCTGTGTAACATATTTGTATAGTTAATGTATCGCAAACATTTGCATGATTTACAACATTTGTATAATTCTAAAAGACCTTATATTAGTAACTGTTAAATTAGATACTTATTCAATATTATTTTGCAAATTTTTCAAAATTACTCTGTAATTCTAATATATTTCACTAACAATTCTATAAACGTTTCTTTATGACATGCAAAGTCTGCGACAATTAATTGAAAATACAGAACATTTTCTGTAAAAGATAATATCCCATATAATATGATGTTTGTAACTTTTAGCAGAATAGTGAGAGATGGAACATGTGTCTGGAACTAGCGCTGGAGGGCGAACGCTTATGCAAAGCTGGCGATTGCAAATCCGGGGTAGCGTTTTTCCAGGCAGCAATCCAGGCTGGTACAGATGATCTGCGAATACTAAGTGCTATCTACAGCCAACTGGGTAACGCGTACTTTTACTTGGGTGACTACGTCAAAGCAATGCAGTATCACAAGTTAGACCTGACTCTCGCCAGGAATATGGGCGACAAACTGGGCGAAGCAAAATCTAGTGGGAATCTGGGAAACACATTGAAAGTTATTGGAAAGTTTGACGAAGCCATGATATGCTGTAAAAGGCATCTGGAAATATCCAGAGAGATTGGAGATAAGGTACTCATATTTTGATAAGAGAAAATTACTGATACTGACATACCGCTTTTCTATTTCTTAAAGAATGTATTACAAATATTTTTTAAATTATGAAAAAAATTATTCTAGATTGCATTTAAAAGTAACATCAAAAATTTAGCGACGATTTAGAAACTGTGATTAAAAGTTATTCCAATAAAGATAGTATTTTTTATCTCTATGCTATAATAAAAATTTATGGAAATGTATTATAAAATGATAACAAAAAAATTAAATTTTTTAATATTAGTATCCGTAAATATTCAAGATAATTGATGTGAAATTACATTGCAAAGCAGATTAGTCGTTTTGTAAATAAATAAAGTATTTATTTGTTCTAAATCTTTGCTACTAATTTGTAAATCGCAATGAAACATTACATAAATCATTTTGGATACTTAAGGAACTGATACAAAAAAAATTGAAATCTTTGTTACTATTTTTACATTTTAATTTATAATTGTAATAATAAAATATATAATAACAAAAAAAGTAAATAAACTATAAGAATGAGTTGTTCAATAAAAATAGAGAGAATGTTATAAATATAACTTTTGTACAGATATAGTTTATTAAAGTATAAATATTTTTTAACACACTTATAAAAATGGATGCAATATACATTCTTAAATAAAAAACAAAACTGTATAAACATAAATACAAATTAGAAAGCTCAATATCAGACTGCTTGTCGTCTTTAGTGACTTGAAGTGACTTGTAATGTTCACGAAAACATTAGTATTTTAATAATGAATTTGGACATGGAGATAATTCGTGAACTGCTTAGCTTCGATATAGAAAATTCCTGTGCAAGTTTCAAAAGTATTAACAATAAAAAGTATCAATACTGTTTTGAACTTCGCAATAATTAACTATATAATTATATAACTAGTTATCTATATAAAATATATACAAGTTAATGTATATGGTTTCTAGAATGAGTTTCTAGAATAGTTTCTCTCACTTCGATGTAAAATATTATCTTTTTCGATTTATATACATATCTCTCTTTTATTAGTAATTCTTATTAGTAGCAAGACATAACGTATATATTATGATTATATACAGGGATGGTTAGATTAGGTTACTACCTTATTATCTATGTTACTGACGGTGTGCTGTTTTATGCCACATTCCGATTTAGTATTTCAAACTGCACTATAAAAAAAATATAAATAAAATAATTTTGAGAAATTATAGTTTATATTTTTATAAATTTATAATTCCTTTGTGTGCAGCTTAGCGAGGGAAGAGCCCTGTACAATTTAGGAAATGTGTATCACGCGAAAGGCAAGCAAGCAGGTAGAATAGGTCATCAGGATCCAGGAGAGTTCTCTGAAGATGTTCGACAGTGCTTGCAACAGGCGGTGCGCTATTATGAGTAAGATTTAATCCACATAATTATTTTCAATTAATTTTTAAATTTATGTTGTACATGTCTCTTAGTGCCTTTCGTTTTTTTACAGAGAAAATTTAGAGCTTATGAGGGAATTGGAGGATTCCGCTGCTCAAGGTAGAGCATGCGGCAACTTGGGCAATACATTCTACTTACTGGGCGATTTCCAACAGGCTATTTATTATCACAATGAACGTTTAAAAATTGCTAGAGAATTTGGCGACAAACCAGCGGAAAGAAGGGCCAACAGCAATTTAGGAAATTCGCACATATTTTTAGGCGAATTCGAGAAAGCTGCACAGCATTACAAGTAAATATGGTTTTACCAAATTATAACCATGCATCTTTGTTTTTGTTCAAATAGCATCAATGTTTAACTTTTTGGAGACAATGAATTCATATATGTATTCATTCAGTACAAAAAGCCATTTTTGTTGTATGAGTTTAACGAACATTTTTATCTTACGCTCTTGATAAGCACAAAATTATCAACAATTTTAATGATTACATGTACGTATATTTTAAGAATTATTACAACAGAATGCCACTTACTTGACAAATATATCTCGTTTATTTACATCATTATTTCTTTTACTTATTTCTCAAATAAATATTCATTTTAATTTGTTTCAAAAGTAAGAAAAAATGTTTATAATTAAATAAGATATGCTTGATATGAAAATACAGATATTTTATAATTATTTTATAATATTAAGCGAAAAATAGACTGATGAGATTAAACACACATGAGTGACAAACGCTATATTCAGTCAAGGCAGTTCTTCGTACCTATTAATATTTCTTGTGAATTTGAATATAATTTCCAGCATAAGCTAACTGAAAGCTAATTATGGGTCTTAAAACGCAATCTTAAATCGAAACTAGAGTAGTAATATCATAAATTAAATGGACATTTAATTTGTGTTATTGTGATTTAATGTTATTGCTGCAAAAATATGTTAGAAAGCTGCTAATAATTTCGCACTGATAAACACAAATATCTTATACAGGGTAATCCATTTTCAAAACCTTTTCTATTTGTAATTTTAGAAAAAAATATTTTAGGTAAAAAAGTGGAACGGAGGATTTTGAGGGGAACGTATTTTAGTCATGTTGCTTTTCAATTGCTACACAAAGAGTTTAAATAAATTCGCAATTTGCAAAATTATCAAAAATTAAAAATTTTGTTTAATGTTTAGGAGGACCTTAGTTCTTGCACAGGAATTGGGAGATCGCGAGGTAGAGGCGCAAGCATGCTACTCTCTGGGAAACACGTATACTCTCCTGCGCGATTACTCGGCGGCCATTGAGTACCACTTGTGGCATCTGAGTATAGCCCAGCAATTGAAGGATCGCGTCGGCGAAGGACGCGCCTGCTGGTCGCTGGGCAATGCTTACGCCGCTATGGGCAATCATGAGAAAGCGTTGCACTATTCGAATCTGCATCTGCACATTTCAAAAGAGTTGGAAGATCAAATGGGCCAAGCTACTGCGCAGATGAACGTCGATGACTTACAAAAAATCCTCGGTCTAGAAAAAAATCAACAGGAAAGCAACAAGGAAAATCTAAACATTCAAAAATTAACCACAAATGCGACATCGAATGTTCCGACAACCATGCCTTGTAGATATAGACTCAGACGACAAAGTATGGACAATCTTGATCTCATTAAGGTTTGCACAAATTTTCTATTATTGAAACAATACCGAAATAATGAATTATTGTAATTTAAATCTTTTAATTTTAAATACAATTAATAATTTATATTAAAATATCAACACATTAAATAAAATTTAAAAAAATTACATGAAAAAAATTAAAATTTTCTTATATAAAACATACTGTACATATTTCATCAGTTAATAAAACTAATAATTATATTTAATCAGCTCACACCTGATGCAAAGCAGAAAGATAAATCAGAAATCGTATTGGACAAAGACGACAACGTTGCGTCGCAACCTTCTCAAAAGGAGGAAGATAACTTTTTCGATCTTCTATCCCGATTTCAATCAGGCAGAATGGATGATCAACGTTGCGCGCTCAACACAAAACACAATCCAAAATACCGAACGATTTCGCCGGAAGTATCAGACATGGATGACAAGTATGTGAAGTATTCTATTCTTTTGAATAGGCACTAGTCATCGACTTATGATAATATATCATATTACACTTATAATGTTTACCGGATGTTTGACAATTTTATTTTTAGGGATGGTGAGGATTTACTGGAATTAATCGCTGGAATGCAAAGCAAACGAATGGATGAGCAAAGAGTAACATTACCCTATCTACCAGGACTGAATACCAATCAAGACTCGGACGATTCTTTTATCGAGATGCTTGTCAGATGCCAGGTTTGTATTTATTATTATTATTATTATTATTAACTTTATTGAGTGCATTGTTAACAAAATACATTAGATAGAATACAGTATTATTTGGTATCACATATCAGTTACACTACAATAGGCTGGGCGACAGCTGAGCAGCTGATTTGAAGCCATACTTGTATATTAAAATAAGTGAATTATAAAAATTAAATTCAAAATGCTTTGGGCGCGATTTCGGAGATTATTAACGCGCTACGTAAATGGAATCTGAAGAGCTCGGGCGCACGAAATAGTGAAGCAGAAGCCTTCTTAATTCGAATTGAAGAGGAGCGTGAGTTGTTCCCTTTTACATATGCAAAATGAGGCGCAAGAGATCTTATGTTTATATGTGCAATGCGAAAATTTTCAGATTTCGACATATTTAAAGGCAACTCAAGCGTGAAGTTGTTTATTATTAAAATAGATAGAAGAATTTAAGAAAACGAGAGATAGTTTATCAGAGAGAGAAGATGGGATAGAAATAGATAAATATAACGGTGGTGAGGAAGCAGATGATATGGTTGGAGGAAAAGTGAGTGTAAAGCATTAATACAGGAATAATGGTTATATCAGAATGTGTTACATTGTCAGATGAAGCGCAGAGAAGCGAGATTGAATCGGCAGTGAGCACGATAATGAGAAAGGCGTAGTCTGGCAAGCCGCAGAGATCGTCTTAATGAAATACTCCGTAGAAGAGAATTTTTGAATTTGAGAGTTATCAGATTCTCTAAAATAGATCATACCACGACGCATTCAGACACGCTTCACGTTGTAAGAATAAGGCAAGAGCTCTAGCCTTCCTAAAGGCAAGCCTTTCGGAAGCGATAGATTGTTCGTATATAGAGATTCTATCAGAAGGCCATGATTTTTTAATATCACGCGCAATGAATCCGCGTTTACGACGAGCTGCTGCAAGCCACTCATTTCTTTTAATTATCGACATGAATTTAACGATAAGCAGTCTAGACGAAACAGAGCTTCTACCTTGTCTTACTAAATTAGCAATATCATCCGGCAAAATCGATAGATCCAGATTAGAGGCCAGAGACTCAAACGATCTTCACCTTAAGAGGCTGGAAGACCAAAAATGATGATCTTATAGTTTGTGAGCTCAAAACTTTATATGCGAGACTTCAGTCTCGCCATTAACAATTGATGACAAAAAAAGCTGATTGATCGCCGATTTAGTGGAGTCTTCAAGGGCGACACAATAGTCCTCAAGGCCAACGATCTTTTCCATCAATGAAGGTCCTACAGGCCCCTACAGTGATAAGTCTACCGATAGCCGAGCTCAAATCACCAGATGAGGCAACAACATCCTCGAGACCACGTAATCTTGAAGAGAGAGACTTTAATCTATTGTCAAGATCCACCATCAAATTGAGTCTAGCCTCTATGGATCCAAGCCTAGTCTCCAGTGAGTCAAGCCCAAATGTCAGGTTAGACACCCTATCAGCCAGATCAGCGAGCGCACGCACAACATCGACAGTGCTTGTAGAACATCCATCAGCAGTATTCTTAACATTCATAGAATCACGGTTAGTGAAAGGAGGAGCATTATCCGCACCGCAAAAAGAACATAAACAGCTGCGTGGTAAAAATCGCTTACACTTGGAACAAGCAGGTCGATCCGAGACTCCAAGCTTGCTTTGTTGTGACGAGGACATCATAGCAAAATAAAGTGATAAGATTAGGTGAAAGATAATAATATTTACATGTCGTTAAAAATTAGGAAAAGAATAACAAGCGTTAACTTGAAATATATAGATAAGGACAAAGAAACAAAGAAAAGCAATCTTATGTATCTTATGTAGTTAATTTGAATAAAATTAACTTTACTAATAAATCGTAATGCAATCACCGCCAAATGCAGTTCAAAATACGTTAAGTGCCGCCAAAGCTGCCGCTCAGAGAACAGATGCAGTCTTTGCGACAACAGCCACAGAGCAGCAAGCTAAATGATTATCCAATGACAAAGAATGCAGTAAAGCAGTCAAACAGCTCACATGCCGAAGCAGATTTGGAAAGGGATGTAGGCAAATGGATAAAATTGCCACCAGAGACAGACGAAAGATTCTCCAAAGAAATTTTGAATATAATGTTGCCAGAAAATCAGATGGAAGAAGAGCCGAAGAGAGCAAACAGTAAGCACGTCTGAATAGGACGTCGGTTCGCGAGCGACATTTAACTTGATGCTGAAACTTGAACTGTCGAAACTGTTACGTTACTCATTTATTATGCACTGTTTTGAATCTTTTCGCTTGTCCGATAGAAAGGACACCTTGTACAAAGAATTGTGTGTTTGCTTTCAGAGTTCGCGTCTAGAAGACCAACGAAGTCCTTTACCGGCTGCATCAACGTTACAAGACGCCGAGGAGGAAAGAGGTCGAAGAGCCAATGGAAAAACTCAATCAGGATCCACAGTGCCCGAAGAGGATCTCTTTGCTCTAATCCAAAGACTTCAAGCTGGTCGGATGGAGGATCAAAGAGCTTCCGGACCTGGCAAGGCATGCTAAACTCGCGAGAGCAAACGATGACTTAAGTCCTCACGAAGTCCTTCCATTTACTGAATTCTTTCAACTTATCCTCAATTACATCGATGCCTTCGTTTGTTCATTATCGCGATTCTATTTCCTTGATTACTTAATAGAGAATAACTGGTACTATATCTGAACAGTCTGGTTCTGATTCGAAAAAACGACAAATTATCTGGTTGTAAGAACCAAACACCGTGCCAGATTGATTAAATTTATAATTAGTAAAGGCAAGAAATCGATATGTCATTCAAAAAATGATTTCAGTAAGTAAAATCAGAATATTGACAGATTGGCAACAGATTTGATCAAAAATGTCAGCAGATATTAACTGCGATCAAATTCTGCTTCTATCGATAGAATAGCCATCAGACATTGGTAGCACACTTTGTTCAAAATCTATCTTTGCAGACTTGGTTTTCTAGGATTATTTGATATTCTGTCACTGAAAATATGATATAAAGATTTCACATAAACTTTACGTTTAACTCAAGATACTTAGAAGATACTTATAAGATATTTGCTGATCTTTAATATTTACTATTTGGAAAACTATTATCCTCTTTTTTTTCAAATATGGAAATAGTTGAAGAAATGAATTCATTTTTGCACGCAGACCTTCGAATCCGTTCAAATAGACTTATTCATTCGCGTAGACTGCCACGTCTACAATGGTGTAATTGTTAAGTAATTGATACTCTTCTAATCGATATTCTATTCGGGAAAAAAGAATTAGATCTGATCAGGGGCTCTATTCTGTACACTTACCGATAGTAGTGTTGCGCAATTTTTTTCATTCATTATTCGATGGCGCAACATCCCAAAGTCGGGCCTACCTTTCGTACAGATGTCCGTAGTGCAGGTTATACGCAGTTCCGAATGACAGTTTGACAGGTTTTATTGTCAACAGATACTCTTGACAGTTTGCCAGACCACCGAAGAAGAGCAATGAGCGCGTGAAAATTTCTTGGATCTACCGAGAATCGAATCCGAGTCCCCTAGCATAATAGACTTGCAGTTTTTTTACTATACAAAATATTTGCGCAACGACACATAACGACTCTGACAGCTATCAGGAGACACGTATAGAATAAGATTCCAAATTGAAATTATATCTTGGTAGATCAAATTATATCTATTCAGATATGTTCAGATATACAGACTTCTCATATCGCGGATCTGATTACGCAGATGTGTTCATATACAACCATATACAGATCAGATCTGATCATATGTGCTCATAATATAACTATATGGAGTATACACCATTTATTGATTAGATATGTCATACTTATATATGTATTAACATTTAGTGTTTTGAATCATCAAAGTAGTGGTTCCTGTATGATCATAGAGATCAAGCAGCACTATTATAGATATGGTACAGCTTATACTGAAGGATCACTTGACAGCATCATTATTAATTACTGCGATTTTTAACGGAAAAACGTATTTTTTAAAATTGTAATTTTGTCGTATTGTATTGTGACATTTAATACTAATCAATAATACTTATTTTAGCAATAAAATTGCATTAATTAATGTTATATGAAAAATTTTTAAGGGTCTGATTATATCTTTTTAGATCTGGCCAGATAGAAACAATTTGCAGAGCTTATCAGATTTATTAAAACAGATATGGTTATATTTCAACAGATCTAATTCCTTTTTCTCAGGATATTCATAGTTCAGCAACTGCTAGAATCCGGTTTGTGCGAAAGCATTACAATGCAATAATGAGAAAAAGTTTTCAGTTAATCGTCTAGTAATAACAACTGCCGTTAGTTTCTGATTACTTGATTGAATAAATTATTGTTGAATAATATGAGCTGCACTCTCGATAAATAAGTTATTTGCTAATCGTAAATAAGTCACGAGGGTTAGCTGTAATGCTTTTGCGGATTGACAACAGTCGTGATTTATGTGACATGCCAGTAACTAGCATCAGTTTTAGTATTATCAAGATTTTTATAATGCCTGCTTTACACGGGTTTGTAATTGCGCGTGCAAAACAGGTTTTCCGAACACTGCCAGTTTGAGGGCGTGAATTATTTTCGGACACTCGCGTTCGCCTGATAAACGCGGAGGGCCATTCACATTCTCAAGAGATTGTAGATTTATTATTTTATATACACATATATATATTTTTTGTGCGTATTTCGATTTACTTCCATCTCTATAAGGAGAGAATCGGGATTATTTTTTTAAAGAATATATGTATTACGCGTGGAGACGTTATTTACAGTGGATGAGGAAAGTATTTGCGTATCGCTGAGTTTCGCTATTAGTATAGCTCACTTGATTATTAAATAGTTAACACTGCAAATAGATTGCAAATAGATAACACCAATAAATAAATTATGTATTATACGGAAAAAATTAAAAAGTAAAGTGCGCTTATAATTTTCTTTTATGACACGTGGGACATTACGTAGCATTTTTTTGCTTTTATTTGCAAACAGAAGTTTTCAGTCATGACTAAAGTCAATTAATTTTTTTGAAGATTTCAGAAATCTACATTTGCGTAAGACTTTAACTATTATTAACTACATTGTTAATGTAGTTAACACACATAGACATGTAGTTAATAAGAAACTACTAAGTATATTAATTGCATTCTACAAGCCAGTACACTTTATTTCTTAATTCACTTTCACGTATGAGACATATTATACATATAGTTGCCGCTGGAACAAATATTTTTGAAGGATTTTAGATAGAAAGAAAGTTATAAATATTTATAGTTTAAAAAATTACGGTGCATGAATGTTACTTTTACTTAGTGCGTATTCAATAGGGTGGAGATTTGTAGCAAATATCAGTGCCAAAGATTCTCGATACACTAAAAAAAGAAAAGCATCCGTTAAAATTCCTGGAGAAAATTTTTTCTCAGAATTTTTCATATAATCTTATAACTTTTAGAAAATTTTTCTAATTTTTTATACAGATTGGAATACTTTTTAGAAGTGCTGAGAAAGTATACATCCTTTTAGAATTCTTCATATACACACACATGTTGAATTCTGAAATATATTTTTAAATTTCTAAGATTTCTCTTCCTATAATTTCTGAAATCTTATAAATTCTAAAAAAATTTAAAGTATATTTTTTCAAAAATTATGAAATAAAAAGTATTAAAATCTTAGAATATTTCATAATTTGTACGTATGAAAAATTCTAAGAAAAGATGTAGACTTTTTCAGTATTTTAAAATAATGTTCCAATTTGTATAAAAATTCTGAAAAAAATTTTTGCTAAGAAAGGGGAAAGAAAGTAAGCTTATTTTGATTGAATATTTCTTTTGCGTTATTGTCGCACAAATTTTTTCCGTGAAAGCATATTATCATTGTTATAGAAGTATTGACGACCGTATTGAAAATCATGTTTGACATTATTTCTAATGTGCGAAATATTAAATATTCGTTTAATTCACCTTGTTGTATTTATCTTTCGCGTTAGAGAATTAGCTTCTTCTAGTGTATTTTCAATTTGGGATATAATTTCCGAACTTCAAAAACTTGATATTTGTTATAATAAAAAATATCTATTATTAGTTTAACGGATTTTTATTTAAGGACTTAAATTAGGACTGATTAGTCGAATGTGGAGGATGTGTTTAGCAGTAGCGCTTCATCCGTTCTAATGATCAAATGTATGTATATAATTAAAAAAAATAATTTCATGCCAATTAAAACGTCGGCTTAGCGATGAGCCGAACTGCAACAACGTTGTCATTTTATGCGAAAAATTATCGATAAAAAATCTAATTTTTCGAAAAACAAAAAATTATCGATAAGAAATCTAACAATAAATTGATTCAACAAGAGTGCAAGAATAGTGATATATTAATTACCGAATCGAGATTGCTGAATATCTTCTGCTATGTTATGAAAGTATAATTGTTATGAAATTATAATTGAAAAAAAATTGTACATAAATGGATAGAACTTAGATCTTATCGGAGAAAGAACTGAAACTATTGATGAGAATATTAAATGACAAATCACATTGTTTGTAGGACTTTCATAATCCTTCGTAGAATTTCTTTTCTTTATCATTATTTCTTAAGATATTTTAGATCATTAAGATATTCTAGATATATTCTTTATCTTAATCTTTTTTGCATAACAAACATTTATTATAATGTACTATACATTGACTATATAGGTTCTTCGTATCTAATCGATATGTAACTTTTAGTTTCTAACCATCGATGAGGTATAAATACATTCCATTCTGTCCATATGATAGTGTATAATATACATATAAAGGATCAATAAAAATATATATATACTTTTTTCAGAATTGAGAGTAATATTTATAATTGATTGTCACGCCCTATAGTGCCCTACACAAATCCTTATATCTCTTGAAGATGCAGCTTTCTGCGTCCTACTTTCTATTTTTCTCGCAATATGTCAGAAAAGTCTAAACGCTTCTTTACCGCTAAGACTAATCATCATCCTGACGCGTATACTGCATACGAATGGCCGGAATGGAAGGATTCCGATTTGAATAACGAGAAATGGGAGATACCCAAAGATGGTCCAGATGGTCTATTCCTAGACGCAGAACGTGTCGCTATGCCTTGGTCTTTGGAACCTGACCGTTGGATACGAGCAAAAGATTTGGAACACTTGACTGTACTGTCACTATTTTAATTATGCACTTCAGATAACGGACATTAATTTTTTAAATTGACATATGGCTCTCTTACTTAAAAGTGACATAAAATACGTGATTTTCGAGTTATTATTGTATGTGAGTTAAATAAACATTCTATTTCATCAAACGTGAATTAACTTAACTTTATAAAAATTATCACAATTGTTACTCAAAAGGAGTAGTTAAAAAAATATCGTCAAAATTATCAAAATTTAAAAAAGATTTTTAAAAATTGTGAAACAAAAATTACAAAAATGATCATTTAATCGTTGTTAAGAATATATTCTTTTTTCCAATATTATTTGATTAGTCAGCGATTTTTTCAATTTAAAAAAATAGCTTTTTCTTTTTTTTAAGAAACTTAATTTTTTGAATTGTGTCACTTTGAAATAAGGAAGCAGTTATTAAGTTCTAATTAAACCAACACAATAAAATATTATATTAATGTACATAAATATTATAAAAACGGAAATATTCTCCAGGCTCCTCCGACTGTATACATAACGACTGTGGAACATCCTGATCTGGTTACAAACAATAAGCATCTGTTACACAGCGAGGTATTTTTTTTAACTGTAATTTAAAGTAACATTTAATGACTTACGAATTACTGCAAAACGCGACGAACAAGAACAATATTAATGACAATAGCAATTTCCAGTTTGTGAGATGGTTTGTGTCCGCTCTGACAAACTTGCAATATTGCGGTCGAGAGGGTTTAGACATTGGCGGAGAGAGTTTAAATTTCATTTGGATCGGTCGTAATAATCCCTGGTATGGTTGGATGCACGTATATTCCATGAACAAAGCTGGGAAAAACATCCAGCATCGACCCATAATAAATCCAAACGGTAGATATGACATTATATTCCATTCACAGTAGTTTAATGATAGAAATTTTCTAAATCCTTTGTTTGTATTGTTGAATTTCAGATTCAAAGATTGATAATAATTTTTCAAAAATAATATAAGTCTATCATCTGTGTATATATGCATGTCACTTTAGTTCCAATTAACAGATAATGCATAAACATCTTCTAGGAAAATATATTGTAAGATTATATTGCATGGGATGCTGGCGTCGTATCCTAGTGGACGACATCATTCCTGTGGATAAAAATGGCAAGCCTCTTTTACCATGCACTTCCAACAATTTCGAGCTATGGCCAATGCTTCTCGCCAAAGCATTGCTCAAATTGGTCTCATTAACTTGGACCAGACACCGCGAGATCGTCGACTTTCATCCAATCACTTGTTTTACAGGTGAACACAACATCCGTTTTGTTTCATTCTATTATTTTGTTTTCAATAAAATAATTAATGTAATTATTTTAGTTTAAAAAACGTTTCTTTAAACGTCGTTAATTTCTAACGACTCGTTTCAAAATCCGCTATCTGCTATGAACAAATTAATCACCATAATTAATTCTGTTGACGATTCTAAGAAAGGTTCTATAGTAATATAAATTTTAATAGTAACACAGGTTGGACCTGTTTGACAATGAATATCGCGCGTCTTACGTTGGAAGACAAATGGGATTTCCTAACGAAATATTCCGAACATTTTGAGTGGACTTCGCAAACCGCACAAGATTATATTCCAGGTGAATGTCCATTGAATGTATGTACTGTACATACATAGCGATCTATGGGCGTTTCTTCGGTTACCGCATTACGTTATTCCGGTCTATATTTCCGAATAGAAAGCTTTGCGAATATGTCCAGCGAGACAAAGAAATCCGGAGAAACTTCGCAGCCACTTGCCGCCGAACCCGGGAAACCTCAACCGATCGCCCTGTTTCTCCTCTTGGGCGACATGCGAGCACTCGGAAGCGATGCGGTGCCTGGGCTGTCACCCTGCTGGGATCACATAATTCATATTGTCCAGTCGCGTGATATTCCTCTTGATCCCAAAGATGTAAGAGCATCAAGTTTCAATTTAATGATTATCTCTTGATAGTTATCGCGATGATACTTATTATGTAAAGAAACTGAGATAGTGCAGATTTTTATGAATTCTCTGAGAAATAATAAGGAAATAATAATAATAATAAAATAATGAGTAAAGTAATTGTAAAAATAAAGAAAACATCTTATTATTAGCAGAAATAAAACTGCTAACATTCCAAACAGCTCAAAAGTTTGAAACGTGTATAAAGCTAGAATATGAGGAGAATATTATAAATACATACTAGATATATTTGTTAGACGTTTTTATTATATTCTTAGATTTTTTTGTGCGGACTGTAATTGGCTCTGATTTAAATTACTTTTTTTCCTTAAGGTAAAGCCGCCATTAGCAAAGTGGAAATTTCATCGCTGGTTAAAGTGGGCCGTTTCGCAAAATATGATCGATCTTGCTGACTACTTCGTCCCGATTCGTTATTTGAAAGTGATCAGTCCTCTCAAAGAGTGCAACAGGAGCGTTGGTCATGACGTTGCAGGAAACTTGATCTCTTCAAACGAGATCGAGCAGTCCGATAAATTTACTCGGAGAATGAGATCTCAGAGAATATCAGACTTACCCACCGCATCGGAAGAAGAAGCAAAGGAAGACGACAATCGATGGATCGACTTCAACAAAATAGCCTCATACGTGAAGGAAGTATATCTGTTTTACAAATTGGAGTACTTCCAGCAATCGATTCAAGTAACAGACGACGTGTTCAAGATAGCCGGTGAGAATCATAAACCAGAAACAGTAAAGGCTGCTTCAATAAAAGAAATTGAAAAGGAAAAAGCAAAGGCTACTTCAATAAAAGAAACTGGAAAAGAAAAAGCAGGTATACTTTTATTGAAGTTTCTGTCTAAAAGAATTCTAGAATTGTCTGGAATTTTTTTAGATAAAATTCTAGACAATATATATTGTTAATTAAAAAAAGAAGATCAAGTATACATAAATCGAAGGATTTCTTACTATAGTTTATAATTAAGATTCTTCTCTCAAAGAAATCAGATATTCACAATAATGTTGAAGATTAATTTCAAAAATAGATTAAATTTTTCTTTTTATAAAGATAACACAAAATGAGATTTCGATCCAATTTTCTTAATATTCTTTTTATTTGAAAACTTACAGACACTTACAACAATATCAGCAAGATACTAAAATCCAGATACAAACCTCTATATTTGTTTTGCGATTCTCCGAAGAAAAAATTTTTCTTAGTCAATCTTTGCGCCGCACCAAAGAAGAAGAACGATTTGCACAAAAAGAATTACTTGATCCTTGAAAAGTACAACTGGTTCTTTATATCGGATTCATCGGATCAATTGATAACTATTTCCACTATTGGCAATAAGTCAACTATTATGGAATTGGAAGCTGGCAGGCAACTTTTGCAGATTCACAGTCGTTTAGATTCAGGTCTGATGATTATTTCTTCAGATACGGATTTTTATCTTGGAGATCGAGCAACTGTGCAACAACTGATGACCTCAGAATCTGACAGAATTAAGCAGATATCGAAAATAATTAGCGATAACCTCTGTAAAGCTTATCAATCGTTTGGAACAAAGAATTACCCATCAATGTTGAAAAACTTTTATCAAAGTTACATGCCTAACTTGCAGTTTGCTTCTTTAAAAGAAAATAAAAATTTTCGGATGCTAATACATCATTTCTTTATGGAAGAACAAGTTCGGTTGATCAGGGAGATTGTTTCTGACGAAGAATTCGAAGACATTCTTCACTCTTTAAAAATATTTTTCTTAAATCCGCGTATTAGATTAGAATCTCTCGATTTAATGACAAGTCAAAATATTCTTCAAGATTTTACAATAATAGAAACTTCGAAAATACGGTTGTCTACGTCGGGCAAATGTAAGGAAGTCTTAGATCAAGCTGCAACTACGATTCAATCTTTTCTTAAGATGGCTGTTGTCAAGGGATATAAAAAACTTCACAATCCTGATCACGCTTTTCATATGCAGATTCGTGAACGACTCCTGAAGATATCCGATCTATTTGATTTGTCTCTCGCAAGTCGATTATTAAGGAACGTTATTAATCGTCATGATAGTCTGCGTGATCTGTATCCTTGTTCTGAAGACTTTATACACGTTCTAAATATTCAAGAATTCAAAGATGTCCTGAGAGACATCAGGCATGAACAGTACTTCCCGATTGTTAGACTCGTTGTAAATCCTAAGCCCAAAGAAACGGTTTTCGCGGCCTTTGAATTGCTAATCGATCTTCCTTGTTTCGCACTGCGTGTCTTCAACAACCAAAATGGACGTGAGATGACACGTCTTGTGAACCACGTTATTCCAACTCATTACGAATACCTTCCGGACGGTTACACGGTGTTCGCTTATAGCTGGAGCGATAAGCATTCTAAAGAGTTCGACTGGACAATTCGCGTGATTACCATGAAAGGTGACCCAATATTCTATCAACTAGATGAGCAGCCTTTGTCCTTAGAGATCAAACAACCAAGACTGAAAGTGGATGAATTAATCGGTATTTATATTCCGAACGCGAGAAATTGTATCTCGCGTTGTATTTTACAAACGACTTCAGAAAGAAGCATCGTTTCGATAAGATTGACAACCTCTTACAACCTAACGGAAATCAGAATAAAGGTTGTCGATGAAGATGGCAACATTTTGATTGACGTAAATGGTGATTCAACGGTATTATTACCCTTAGTGATTTTGAAACATACCACTAAAAATAAGGAAGATTATAGGATTGAGAATAATAGCCAAGATATTAATAAAGAGATGAAAAATGTAAAGAAAAAAAATTTATATTACATAGAGGCTTTTGTGCTCAACAATAGTTGGCCCCTCACGGATGTCGAGTGGAGAGTCGTGAACCAGGCAAAGATAAAGAGAGCAAAAGATATTAAAACAAAAATACAATCTGAGAATAAAGCATCATCAAAGTCAGATTTATCGACGATGAGGAAGGACACAAAGCAATTCGCGAGTGATGGCCAAGCTTTGGAACAACCGTATTGGATTCTTCAAGTCGTTACAGATTCTCAGGACGTTGTAGAGGTATGTATTTGTTTCCAGTTTATCGAGAAAACTTTTGTTTAAAGTAATTTTAAACCTACCCAACGAGAAATGACCGTCAATTACACATCAATTTGACATCAATTTGTTGAATCATTTAATCTTATTGGGTTAAAAAATCTATTAGGTTAAAAAGAAACTTAAGAACTGTGAAGAGTTATAATGCCAATAATTTTGAAATTTTTAATGCCAATAATTTTGAAATTTTTCTTCAAGATAATATTATAATTGTGAAATTGTCTAAAATAAGACAAGCATCTTTTATCTAGAAAGTTTGTCTTCAAAAAATTATTTTCTTAAAACACGAATGAAATATCTCAATGCCGTGGCTTTTATTTTATTCTGTATTAATTTCAACTTACGAGAAAATGCATCACTGCCGAATCCATCTAGTGATGATGCTGCATACTGTTTGCGAGTGAACTTTAAGTTAACTTAAATTTACTTTAAAACTCAAAAGCATTTTTTTAAATTCAGATGCAGTGGAAATAATGAAACCTTTGATTTTTTAAAGATTACTTTAAATAAGTCAGCCTTAAAATATTTCAAAGTTTTTACATCACTCTAGATTATCTAAAATTTCTTAAATAAACTCTTATAATTACCTCTAAAAATTTTAACTTCATTTAAAATAAATTTTCTCAAAGAATATAATTAAGGAAATTATATATTTAGTCATATTATTCACAAGTCATGTATTAATTTACAGATAATTTTTTAATACGTTTTTCAATACTATTATAAATCCTAAAATCTTAATTTTTTTGAAACTTTTCATGTTATGTATTTTTAGTTTTTTTTTTTAGAGGATTGATTTTTAAAAAATCATTTTTTCTTTATTTTTTTATGTTTATTAGATCT